TTACACTCATTATTTCATTGCAATGATTACAGTCCCCTCCATGTATCACCATTCCAGAGTATTTGCTTTGTTTTTTAACTTTTTACTGTAAATGTTTGAAAGTTTACAGAACAGAATATCAGTTGGAGTTTTTTTTCTCTCAAGTTTTTTATTGTGAATTGAGTGATAATTTACATGGAGAACATCGGTTTTACACTCATCGTTTCATTGCAATGATTACAGTCTCCTCCGTGCATCATCATTCAACAGTATTTGCTTCTATTCTCACTGTTTTTTTTTTTTTTTTTTTTTTTTTTTTGGTGGGTAGAGGGGATGTACACAAAAACACTTAGGAATATATAATCATTTAAACAACCAAAGAGCACATTCTGCAAGCCTGTCTCATCTCTGGTGTTGCTGCTTCTCTGGATAGGGACCCACATTCTGCTTGTGCTCTTCTCCTTTGATAGTCCTAGGGTCCTCTGTACCTGGACTGTAAGATTAACTATGCCCTTGTTTTTGTTACAAAACTTCTACCTTTACAGTTGTGACAGTCACAATTAGTCATGATAACAATTACTCACTATTGAATTATAAGACTCTTATCCCCATCTCCTTTCACCAGACCCATCTAGAAAAGATGAAAACTATTCAGTGGGGATTCTACCTTCCCCTGCATTCTCTGAAACTAAACTACCTCCTGAAAACTTGTGAGCCAGTCACTTTGTGGCTTTATTGCCCCTTCGTTTTAGGTAGCCAATGTCTAAGTTGCCAGTCTCTCTCTACCCTGTATACAGAGATGATGGGATTAATACTTGTTACGAAGACTCCTTCCCTCTCTGTTGATATTTTGAGCTACTATATCCACAAGTATAGATCAGGTTCATCAAATTGTAGCAATTTACCCTCATTTCATTTATTAAAAATATATTTTTTTATCTTCCTCTAGTCGAGTTCTGAACCGACTCGACGGCACTTCACAACAACAACAGTCGAGTTCTGATTATCAACCCATTGAAGCTAGGTCAAATGGGTACTGTCTGCAAGTTTGGGTGTTCTTGTGCATCTCCTCTCACTTCATATTAGTGGGATGCTTCACTCTCAGCTCTAGCCCTCTGTGGCTTATATCCTTGTCCATGCTCTTAGGAGTCCCCAGGTCTCACCACGTTTTGGACCAATCAGCCCTTCCTCTTCTCTCTCACATCTAGGTCAATGAGAGTCTATGGAACGTGATTGAACTCAGCCCATTTCTTCATTGTTGCCTCTCCCCCTCTTCCACTTACCAGTACATCAGTGTGGTCACTACCAAGGTTACATGCCTGCTCATATGTTCCCTTTGAGTTTCAGTCTTGGGGCGGGGGACATTTGTCTTGAAGGGACTTGAGTGCTTTCTTTGATGGCTTCCCAGCGAATAACTTGTTTACAGAATATCAGTTTTACATTCAACAATTCGTACTCATTTCATCTCACTGACTGCAGTCACCTCAATGTATTATTCCTCCGTGTGTTTCCTCTTTCCATTCCTACTTCTTTCCTAACTCTTAACTCTTCTGGATTTTGTCTTTAGATAAATGCTGCCCTTTTATCTCAAATGATGATTTTTCTAAGGTGCATTTATCTCACTACTGCTATTGTTCCCTTTATAGACCTACTTATTGTTTGTCGAAAAATTGAGCCGTAGCACTGAGTTCAGTTTCAGACCTGAAGGGTAACTAAAGACCATATTCTCAGGGGTTCCACCAGTCTCTGACTAGTAAACCTGATCTCTTTTATGATTTTGAGTCTTGTTCCACATTTTTCTCCCGCTCTTTCCAGGAACTTCGAATGTGATCCCATCTGGCGCCATTGGGCACCATCTAGTTCATCTGGTCTCAGGGTCCTGATTCTTCACGTGTGGAATCTCCATCAGTTCATTGTATTAATTGTTTTCATGTGCCTTTGATTTTCATCATTCTTCTTGCCTCCAGACAGGGAGAGACCAATAGTTGCACCTTAGATGGCTGCATATAAGCTTTTCTAGCCCTAGTCACTACTTACCAAAGTAGAACATCATTATCTTTGTGGATTATGTTATGGCAGTTATCCTTGGTTCCCTGAGACTATTATTCTGAACCCCCAGGTCCAGTGACTAATATCTTGAGATGTTTGTTAACCTCTCTTTACTTTGGTTTGATTTCCTCTAAGAATGAGAATACTTATCTCACTGGTTGTAAATGGTTTAAAATGTATATAAAACATTTAACAGAAACTAACGCATAGTGTCCATTTAGTAAGCTTACGTTGAATTAATGGTAGTTCTCAAGAGCTATTTAAAAAAGGATGCGTATGAAAGCAATTTGGAGGACAATGCAGCAAAATAGTGTAAGTGATTAAAGTGTTTTCCCTTTTCTACAATTTGGTAATATATTTATAATTTTAATCATTTTCTGAACTCACACTTAACCTTTTTCTTCTTTTCTGGATATTCTAGTTTGTTCACTCTTTGAAGCACTTGATGACATTTTTCTTTAATTCCTCCACTCAGCTAAACACCTTGGAGTCAGCCTTGACTCATTTCTTTCTCTGTGCACCTAGCATCAAATGTGTGTTCAAATTTTGTTAGCTCTAGGAGTCCTGGTATGATATTGTAGGATAAGCACTGGACTGCAAGGTCAGTTTGGACTATAAGGTTGGCAGCTCAAACTCACCAGCTGCTCCTTGGAAACCCTATACTGGGTCACTGTGAGTCAGAACTGACTCGAAGGCACTTAACAGTAATGGCATTCTTTAGAATATATGCAGAATTTTATCATTTCTCACCATCTCCACTACCATTCTGGTCCAAGTTACCATCAGTCTCATACCTAGAATATTACATTAATTTCCTAATGGTCTCTCTGCTTCCACCCTTATCTCTTCCTAGTGTATTCTCAAATAGTAGCCAAAGTAAAGATAAGCCTGTCATGGATTGAATTGTGTTTCCTCTCCCCTCCCCTAAATATGGTCAGCTTGGCTGGACCATAATTCTCAATGGTTTGGGAGTTACGTAGTAATGTAATGTGGCAGTTATGCAGTAATCCCCGTTATTTAGAATGTGTTCTGATGTGATACACCAATAAAAGAATTAAGGGTGGGATGCCACACTCTTAATTCCATCACAGCCTTGATTCTATATAGTGGGAATTTCCGTGGGGTGTAGCCTGAAACAATATTTAAAAGAGAGAAACGAGCAGAGACAGAGGGACCTGCTGCCACTAAGAAAGAAGAATTGGGAATGGATGTGTCCTTTGGATCTGGGACCCCTGCACTGTGCAGCTCCTAGATCCAGGGAGATATTGTTGCCAAGAAACATGGAATTCTCCAAGGGATGCTGGGTCTACAGATGCTGAAACGAGACCAGGACCTTTTCCCAAAGCTAGTGCTCTGAATTCACACTTCTAGTCTCCTAAACTGTGAGACAATAAATTTCTGTTTGTTAAAGCCATCCAGCTCTAGTATTTCTGTTACAACAGCACTAGATAACTAAGATAAAGCTAGACCATATCACTCTGCTACTTACGACCCTCCAGTGGTTTCTCATCTCATTCAGAATGAAACCCTTTAAGTAAAAATACTTAAAATAGCCTACAGAGCCCTATAGAATCTGCCCCAAGCCCAAACTCATACCTTTCTAATCTTATTTGCTATACTTTGCATTTTCTGTTCTCTCTACATACATTTTTTTTTTTTCCTGCAAATACTTAAAAGGCTGTTTTTTCCCCCTCCTTTAGGTCTCTGCCGAATGTCATCTTAGCTATAAAACAGGCGTTTCCTAATCAGCATGCTAGCTCATTGGCTCCCACCCACGTGCCAGGCTTCTCAGGCCTCTACTTGACTTTTTCCATTATTTCTTAGTACCATTTAGCACACTGTATATTTTGCTAAATATGTATAAACTTACCCATCTTTTCCAATTAAAGTAGCTCCATGAAAGCAGGCATGTTTTGTCTATTTTGTTCCTCGTTAAATCCTTAGAACCTAAATAGTGTCTAGCACATAGTAGGTACTCAATAAATACTTACTGGGTAGATAACTTTTTAACTGTTTCATAGAATCAAGTCCTATTAACTGAACTAATTTGAATGTTTTTTGAAAGAAAGTCACATGTCACTTTGATGTGCCTCTTTTTCACTCAAATTCAAACAAAGCATTGTTATTGTTGCTAAGTACCTTCAAGTTGGTTCCGGTTCACAGTGACCCTATATAGGGTTTCTGAGGAGCAGCTTGTGAGTTTGAACTGCCAACCTTATAGTTTAAACCCACATTGCGGTCCAGTTCATTATCCCATAGTGCCACACCAGGACTCCAAGCAAAGCATGTTGTTGTTGTTAAGTGCCGTTGAGTCATTTCTGACCCATAGTGACTCTGTAGAGGGTTTCCGAGGAGCATCTGGTAAACGTGAACTACCAACCTTGCAGTTCAAACTGCTTTGCAGTCTGGCACATTAACCCACAGTGTTACTCCAGGACTCCAGGTAAAATATAGATAATCATTATTTGTTGCATCAGATTCTCCCTGCCTCCCAGGCTAGAATGCTATCCAGACTACTTAAGATAAAAGATAGGATGTTCAGCAATCAAAATGAGATGATCAGAGAGTCATTTTGGGAGGGAGGTGTTGATTGTATTGACTGTGGAAGGGCACAACCAGAGAACTCTGATAGGGCTACTGGACATGTTCTGTATCTTGATCTAGGTGATGGTTCATTGAGTAAGTGCATGAATATGTAAAAACCCATCAAGCTGTGGATTTAGGATCAGTGTTCCTTCAGTATTTTAGTGTACATGAATTATGCATTAGTAAAAAAGTTTTTAAAAAGTCTTTTCTACTCTTGAGATGTCCAGAGAAATTTAAATATGTTAAATAATACATGACAAAGATTAAGAAAGAATTCTTCATGTTCCTAATTATTAAGAATTTCTATTTCTAGTTGTATTATTGAAATTTTTATTTTAAATCTAAAATTTAAGTAAAATAATTTGTATTTGTTTTATCTTTTGCAGAGACAGCAGTAGCAGAATTCCACAAAAAAATTAAAGAAGCTTTTGAAGTATTTGACCATGAGTCGAACAATACAGTGGATGTGAGGTTTGGAAATGTTTTCTTTGATAGCATTTTGAATTACTGATGCAACTACTAAAATAGAAGAGGGTTCTTATCTTTTCTTTTTATGTTGTACCTTGGATTTGTTATGTCATTTGCATAATGTATTTCTTTTTTGATGCCTTATGAAAACACTTTTTGCTAACTATTGGTTTTTATTCTTCATAGTCTAGTGAATAGACCTGTGTTTCCATTTCCATCCTATAGGCTATAAACGCTGTGAAGGAAATGAAGTGCACTGGTGGTACAGTAGGATAAGCACTGGCTGCTGACCATAGTTCAAACCTACCAGCTGGTCTGAGGAAGAAAGATGAGGCGCTCTGCTCCTGTAAAGATTTACAGCTTGGAAACCCTATGTAGGATCACTATGAGTTGGAATCAACTCAGTGGCAGCGGGGCTAGGTGGTTTTTATATTGTTTGGCACATAGTTGGCACTCAGTAAGTATTTATTTTATAAAGGAAGAGAAATTTGCATTTTAAATAAATACAGATGAATGGTCAAGTAATGAATGGCATATTGCAAAGAATGCAATATGCTTAAGCAATGGTATTGTACAATCCTCAATTAAATAACAATACCCAAACAAAATAAGATTAAAAGATAAGAGAAAGACATGAATACAGGCAGGAAGGTATATCTGCAGTTGACTAGGAGACAAAGAATAGCTTGAGACTAAACAAAAACCATCAACAAAAAAAGAGCAAGACAAAAGGTAGAGAAGACTTACCTGAGTCCAATAGAAACCATTCTTCTAGGAGGCCAAGCTAAGAAAGGGTTATTTCATGGTTGATGGCTTCTGTTTTAGGCCAGATTTTCTAGAGAAGCAAAACCAGTGATAGAGAGAGAGAGAGAGAGAGAATGAGAAATTCATTATCAATTACAATTGTAGAGTCCCAGGTCCCCAGCAAAAGAGAGTGAGAACAAGAGTTTCTTATAATGGGAGCATTATATTGGGTGCAAGCCACAACCCGCAAGAAAACATCCTTTCAAATGATTGGCTGCTCATAGCCAATCATCATAGAGTTATTGCTAAACCTCTAGAAGTCCTGACCTAGTTAAGTTGACACAGAACCCTAACCATTACACCCTATCAGCTTGACCAGTTCAACTTTATCAACTCGAAGGCTATAAACGATATGAATAATCTGTAAATAAAGAAAATTGTAAGGTCATACTTGAGCCTAACATGATATAACTAAAACACACATAACCAAAAATGCACTGGCCCCATTTTCATCTTAAATGCCATAAATCAACAAAGCAAAAGTATTGGATACACACATGCAAACAAAAACAATATATATTTGTATATATTCATTTAAATGTCTAAAGGGCACATTCTACAAACCCGTAGGCACACAGCCTTACTCAGTCCACAGGCCTCAAGTCCATAGCTACTCTGTCTTCCCATGCTAACACTGTTGCCACCGTCTGCTTTGACCGCTTTTCCAGGCAGAGATCCCATGGTCCACTCATGTGCTTCCTTAATGATGGTCCTGAGATTGTCTGTTCCTGAAATGAAAGATAACTACTCCTGCTTTTAGTTACACATCTTCTACAATTACAGTTTTTTTTTATTGGCCCATTTGTAAGGATTTTTTTTTTAATGTTTTATTGTGAATTATATGATAGTTTACATGAGAGAACTTTAGTTTTACATTCATTCCATCGTATATCATCTCATTG